CAGTAGTTCTGTCAGCCGGACACTCACCCTCAGCAAAAATAGCATCTGTTATCTCACTAACCTAACAATGACCTGCAACAAAAGCAATATTGTATCACCCAAAAAACATATTTATGGGAAAGATATTTTGCCAAGCTCATACGGTTTTTTCAAAACTGCAAAACAGCCACATATGAAATTTCTGAAAGGCACCCAAATTGATTCTACACATGCTGGTTAGGGCAGAACTATAAAAAATCAGCATGTTGAAGATCATGCTGGTGAAAATGGGACTTTCTGATAAGTCTAGGACTGTAACCAGCAGGTCTCAAAATATAAAATTAAATTTCAATCAGGAATAGTTTTAGCTGGTTGCATTCCTAAAAGGAATCTTTTATAACTGAAGAACTTTTTGGTAATGAAAAGGTCTTCCTAGGTCAGCAAGAGTAATAGGTTGATTGGAACCACTGTTACAAGCAAATTATAAAAAATATTTTCCAGTTATAATAGGCAGGTCAACCAGAACCCTATTTTTCCACCTAGTATAATATAATTAATATAATATTCCACCTAATATCAAAGTACCTAAATACATAAAAAGTACCTCTGACAGCAGCATTCTTCAAATATAACATCTTTAAATCAAAATTTACCTGTTCTGAATGGTTCTCACTGAGCTAATTGTCTAGGGTTACCCACAAATATTCTGAATTCCTTTCCTACAAATTTTGTGGAAGAATATAGAACTACACTTATGAAAAAATAAAGAATTTCTAACATTCGCAAAGGAGCTCAAGAATATAAAGCACCTACATGAAAACCACATGACCTAGGCAATTTGATTAACAGTGTACAGTATAATATTGTGCAATTCCCAAGGAGATAAGTAAAAATATGTACATAGATTCTCTCTCACAGTCACACATTTTGAATTTATCTCCAGTTTCTAGAATATTTATTTCATTTAAAGTATCATCCTGCTCAGTTTGCTAACACAAAAAAAAATTATGAGAGGCAAAAGAGGGACTGACTCTAGAGTGATGAGGATAAAACAAATAAGAGCAGAAAAAGAATATGTTACAAGCACAGAGAGAGAAGTGTGCCTTATATCTGTGTAGCAATGACTAAAAGCATTTATTTCTGGCAACATCGCAGGAAATGCAGCTCGGGCTAAAAGTTACCTTGATTTTTCAGTTTTAGGAGGTTTTTTTGTGCACAGCAACATGCACATTTTTGTTCTACTGTTACTCAGAAGAATGGGGGACAACTTTTGTATGTGGGAAAACTGGGACTTGATGACTCTTTTCATTATTTTAAAGAATGCTAACTGGGGACTACATTTGTTTTCCATGCCTTTCAAGCTTATTCCCATAGTTAGAAATGCCTGAAACTTAATTCTGAAGATGAAATTTGCTTCCCATAACAAAAACAATCTTATATGTTGTTAAAAATTAATAATTATCTCTGCCATGTGGAAAAGCTTGAATACTTATCCTGTCATGGCTATTATGTTTTGCTTTTTCCTGTGTATTTTATTCCACAAGATCTTAATGTGAGAAGGAGGCCATTGTAAATAAATAAATATATAAATAAAATAAGCAGTGATATATCAGTTACTTTCAATTCTCAGGGAAAAAAGAGAATATTTTTGCCCGATAGTTACTGTGATTTTCATGTCAAAATGCATTCCCTTATCTGTGTTCTGTGCAGCAGTTGGCTGCAATTAGGCAGCTAAAAATAAAGGGCTGAATCACGACATGAGGACATTGGCCAGTAAAAGCAGCAACACGGGGCAGTCGTTCCTTACCTCTGTGGGAGCTGTACCTAACAGAACAACCACTGGAGACCAAACACCTCAGCACCCCATGCCCACTGGGGGCAGCCTCCAAATCTGCAGGGCAGGGCTGGCACAGCACCATTTGTCCCAGCTGATCTGGGTACAGCTGACTCCAGCCCTGTGAACAAGCCTGTTCATATGAGAAGTTTGCTGACAGTAACATTCTTACTGGATGTTAGCAGAACATCTTGCTCAAACACAAAGTTATGTATACATGTGTTTACAAGTTCCAAAGTGTAGCTTCATTTATTAATCAGAGGTGTGAAATTCCTTTAAAATTGGCTGAGTTGCAAAAGACAAGAAATAAAACACATTTATGTTCTAAAGCTTCACAAAATACCTGGAAAACAACGTGAAACCTTACCAAAAACAACCAAAACCAAACACACACCAAAGTAGTTTTGTAAAAATGATTTCATCTACCAAGATTTAACAAAACAAAGAAAGACTCTGCTTTCCAACTCTGATTAGAAAGTATATTGTGCAACCATTATTCAACCCGTGTAATCAAGTGAAATATGGGAATCATATGAAGTATTAAAGGCATACACTGCAGTTTCCTGATAATTAACAGTTTTATATACAATTACTTGTTATTGTAAACAGATGAGATCAATGCTGCTCAGTGAAACTCTTTAATTTTAATGAGGTTTTGGCTCAACACATAAAACACGCAACATTTAATCCTGTAACACACATGACAAGCAGAAGGCGTCGTTTATCCCTGTAGGTAAAATACTATCATGTGGAAGAGGAAATATAAAACATTTAAAATTACCAACTATCTACAAACAGGGAACTGGTCTTCAGTGGGAGTCTTAAAATGCCCTTCACCAGTAACCACTCTAATGGTATTTTATAGCAAAGCAGGGGTGAGGACTTTACAAAGGATGAGTCTGAACCTTAAGTGTTTATCATAGCTAAACTAGCACCAGCCATTGAGACTGATGGCAAGTGGCAGAGGTAAACCCTTAAAAACTGTTCTCATGAAGGAAGGGTACAGATGATTTAAGCAGTAGAGTTACCAACACCAAGTCAGGTCCTTAAACAAAGATGGAAGAAATAAATTGGAGAAAACAAAACCAGAAAACAAAATTTCAGAGCTACACTGAAGTTTACATCATCTCAGATCAACAAGGGACCAACTACAAAAATCAAAAGAACACCTAAAAAGGTAAAAAGTGACCCCCTGAAGGACTAGGGAATTGCTAGAAGGTCAGAAATGCAAATATGACCAAGTATTGTTCCTTCCCATGCAAAAACTTAAAAAATATATAAAGATGCACATGCTCCATACACAGCACGTCAGGAAAGTGCAGAATATATGAATCTAGCTTCATCCTTTCCTTAAAAGAACAGCCACTGCCTCTTTAGGCAATTCCTTACAACAAGGAAACAAATGTTCCTGTAGGTCAGACTCCTTGGCCCTTCCTGGCCACTGGCCAGGCTTACCACCACTCAGAAATTAAACCTTCCAGCATCAGCTGCATAGCTGCAACACCCCCCACACACTATCACTCAACATAAAAAGACTTTAATATTTCTTTTTTTTTGCACCACAAATCATACTAATGTCATAAAGGATAAGAGGTCAGCTTCCTGACCACACAGCCATGGATTGGAAAATGTACATAGACCTTGGTGATGTGTTTCCCACTAATCCAAAGCTCCTTTCCATGACAGGAATGAGGGCAAGAGGGAAGGTAGCCTACAGCAATATATCCTGGCTTGCCTCCACCTCAGGAGCAGGGTTTTGAGTCACCCTATGTGGTCAACATCAGCACAGCCCTGTGACAGGCACCCTGCTCTGTGACACACCTTCAGCAAAGGAGTTGCCTGAGGAGCACAGACTCATGTCCCCATAGCAGAAAAGAATCCCCAGGTTAGGTGTCAAAACCTGGATTTCTCCAAACAAATAACTTTTGCTATCAGGACAAAACTCAGGAAAGACAGGACTTCCCCACCAGAGTCCTATCAAATTGAGGATCTCCAATACAGCCTTCAAGTTCACACAAGTTACAGGGATAGTCTGCAAAGTCCATTTCACAGTCATTTTATAAAATCCTACACCAAAACAAAAATCCATCCAAATAAACAAACAAAACCCCCAAACCTCCACCAATAATTCACTTCTCAAAACTTGCAAATATAATACATAAATAAGTATTTGACATATGCTTCTTTTTCACCATTAAGAGAAAACTAATTTCTGCTGAGCAATCTGTAATGATTAAATCTTAGATGCTCTTTTCTGCTGGCCTGTGATAAAGCCTTGCCTACACTGCATCTAGAAACAGCCCTATTCTTGCCAGTTCCTACACTTGTGAGCCATCTCCCAGTGCTCTCACCCTGGCCTCAGACCAGGTCATCTGGCAGTTTCCACCCGGCAAACAAGAAGCTGGGAACTTGGCTGGCTGTCCTTGTCCCCAGTGGCTTGGGAACACACCTCAGTGCAAACCTGCTGCACATCCACTTGTAATAGCAGTGATGAAGATGTCAGCTCCCAGCTCAGCAGAAAAGGAGCACACTACAGCAGAAGATGCTGAAGCTCATGCCCAAACCCCACTGTGCCTCCTGCAGCCTTTTCAAACTGACAACTACAGTTGTAGCCACGTGCCTGTACCTCCTCACCTGCTCCCCATGGATTTCTGTACTTCACTTGCACAAGCAAACAGAAAGATCTGACTCTGTGACAGAAGGATGCCTGCAGGAACCACAGCCAGGGACAGTTTCCCTCTGCTAAGGGTTTGCTACCCTGAGGACAGAGACCAAGGCAACGCCTTGGAGGGCAGGGAAGGCAATTTTGCTTCCTTGATTTTTAAACTCTTCTATTGCAGTACAGTAAAGACCTGAGTAAAAATAGCAGAAGTAACTGAGACTCCAGAGAAGCCAGCCTTGTAATAGCACAGGAACTTTTCATCCATAGAGACAAAACAAGACAAAACCAGAGACTGCCTCTAAAAGATAGTTACCTGATAAATAAGTTAGAACTGAAACTGCTGAACTGTTTCAGAGTGATTTTACACTTTAGGATAATGTAAAAAACAACTATTATAACCCATTTATGCTGATAACATGTAACAGCCAAATGGAAAATATCTCTGGAAGAGATGAGCATGTAAAATCACCTTTTATTGCTTGAGTACGGGATAATGCCAAAAAACACCCCAAAGAGCAGAGAATCATCAAAAAAGTAATAACTGAAACCTGAAGAGCTTTCTGCAGTGAAGGAGAATTAAAATTTATTTTTTGTCAGTAAGGAATGCAACACTGAAAGGAGATTACCACTTCAAGACAGAAAACACTACCTCTTGCTGAGGGCCATGAGGAAGTATAATGAGTCTAAGTCTAATAAGTCTAAGAATGGAATTGGATTTTATCTCTTCCTCATTTGTATATCCTCCACTGAATTGCTGCCACATTAGATCCGATTTCTAGGAATGCTGCCAGAAGAGAGTAAAACCTTCCATGTGTCTATAACAAATGGGTCTTATCATTATTTAAGTAAGTATAGGGATATAAATTTTGTTTGTTTATGGCTTACAAAGTATTCTTACAAGTCAGTACTGGGAAATACATGGCTGCAAAATGTTTGTTTGAAGAACAGGTAAACAGGTATGAATTGGGATAAATCAACTCAGCTGAAAGCAGCAGAGGGCAGTGTGATGAATCTGCTGAGAATAAATCTCTGGATATGGTTCCATTCCTCATTACCACAAGACAGGCAGTGAAGGGATGGTGCTATACAACTGAGAAGGTAGCTGGAGATTCAGGAAGGACGACAGCTAGTGTAAGGGCCTGTAACAAGCTGATTTTCTGGAGTCACCACATGCACATCACTCAAAAATTCACCTTAACATAAATCATAGTTGATACAGAAGGAAAACTAAGCCTGTCCCCGTGCCTCTTGCATTCAGTTTACCTTCTGCAATGCAACCTGAAAATCAAGTCAAGCACTCGAGGGATGATAAAACCTTTAGACTTGGAAGGCAGAAGCATTTAGCAGTACCATGCAACAGAGAAAATATAAATGCAGGTGAAAGAGCTGAAGAAGACAATCTAGAAGAAAATTGTTTTCACATAAAATGTGTCAGGTTGTTAGGACGTGCACTGACAGATGATACATAGGCAGGCAAAAAAAGAACAGGAGGAAAATAATAATGAGGAATAGGGATGAATTCATCCAGTGTAAGATACATTCTCCCTCCACGAGGTAGTTTGTAGTTGCTTGATAGAATTTTCTTTGAAATGTCTTTGTATAATTTACTCACCTGATTTGCTATGACTGTCCCTAATGAACAGTACAGTAAGCATTTTAATGAGAAAACAGCAACAGAAATTGAACCTAATGATTTTTAAGGACTGAGGGACTTTGAAGAAGGATCATAAGAAAATTACATGGGAGCAAGAGAAAAAAGAAGAGAGGCTAAGAGTTACCATGAAAGGCATTAATGTGTTATGGTATATTATAAACAAATCATAGAAGTACCTGGGTTAGTTAAAATTATTAAAATGAATATTCTACTAATTCAGATTCCTGGAAAAGGGGTTCTTTAAATAAGGAAGTAAAGAGAAGACTGTGTTGATTTAAAAAAAATACACCAAAAAACTGATCACCAAACACTGATACATTTGAACAGTTTGCTTCTTTTCTTTCAGAAAACCTAATGCTATTTCATTACAAAAGGGCCACACCTAAAACCACCAGTTTGCTCTGACATATACCTAGACATTGTGAACAAGTCCACAGTGTAACTGGTCAGCATGCAGATTTGTCTGGATAAAACTGGACATCTGAAACTCTACTGCAACTCCATCTAAGACCAAGATACATCTGAGACTAAGATCACACTGAACTATAACTAGAACTATGTTTTTACAATCATATGGACCTAAAAGCCATAGAATTTTAGGTAATAGAAGAAAAAAAACACCAATATCTTGTCCCAGTTGCAAAGAACTTCCCTGGAAAAATACAGTATAACTGTCATGAGCAACACCCAAAGAGATTTTCTTTTGTTTGCAGATCTTGTTGGGAAAATGCATTATGAAAATAAGAAATAGACTTTCCACAGATGTTATCTAGGAATATTTCACATATTTAACTGCCTTTTAAGTGAACTACTTCTAGAGTGTTAATTACATTTCACGCCTCTGCCCCATGGCGACAAGTTTGGCCAAAATGGACTGACAGGCACAATCCAAAATATTGACCATGATGTTAAGATAGGTTAAAAGAAATCTCAGCTTTGCAAAAGTAAAATTTTGGATAAGAGAATTGTTGTGACTTGGTACAACTCTACAAAGGCTCTTCAATAATATTTTCTTAAATCATAATTCCCAGAAGAAGCACTTCAGAGTGAACACTTTTAGGAGTGACATCACTCCATAAATTCACATGCTGGTTTGGGTTTTTTTCCCCTGGCAGATTATTTGGCAGAAATGTTTCTAGGATTGATATTCAACTACCTTAGAGAAAAAGACAGTGGTACACATATCTGAAGTACCTGTAGGCAATCTACTTGATGATTCACATGTCCTCATTAAGCCTCTCCTTCTCACTGTGAGTGTGTTCTAAAGCAGCAAGATTTTACAATATTGGGGTTTTTTAAATGTTCATGGAACAAAAATTCAAATCAAAATAATTGTCTCTAAATGCAGTGCTTGCCAAGAAATTAACTTGCAGTATTATTCAGACAAAAGGCTCTTTTGTTTCCATAACTTTATTTCCTCTCTACCAAAGGCTTATGTATGACTAAAACAAGTACATATTGAGAAGATGATTCCTGTTCTGCCTAATGACTTTGATTGCAAAACCTGAAAAACATCCCTGAACTAAAATGGTGCATTATCACTGTCTTAAAAAGTGAATCTTTTTGGCTGTGAATGTTCAGAAAGCTGTTTTATAAAACAGAATATAAATGCATTACCTGAAACATAAATAACGTGGGTGTTAGCAAACTATTCCTCTCTAAAGAGAGGTTTTTCAACCCTAGCTTAAAGGAGGTTGAGAAATCAATTTTATGACCGGTATTTGACATTTGTCCACAGCAGAGAGGTACCATATGATTTGACAGTTGCTGAATCTGTGCTTAGGGTTATACAGACATAAAAAGGGGGGATTTGTAGGTCAAAAATTAGCTCCATTGCCACTGTTTCTGGAGAAGCTGGCAAAGCATATGGCCCTCCTGAAATGTCTGTTCTGTGCTTGGAGGCTACTGACATCCAAAGAGACACTTTCTCTTTTTTAGTTTAACCTCATCTCTGCCTTAGTGCCTGGATTTTGTTCTGCTGTCACCAGGCCTGAGTATGTAAAGATCAATCACCACGACTGTTGACAGACTGATGGCATTTTTCTCTGTCAATCAAGCATTTCTGGGATGGAGCTGGTCCACCTTCTCAAACAAGCATCAGAGACAGCTTTGGCAGCAACAGTAAAAACTGCACCCCAAAAAGAAAAAACCCCTGTCCTAACAAGATAATGCATAATTGTAATCTGAAATTGACACAATCAGATTTTACCACCCTTTTACTGAGTTCAAAAACAGCACTCTGAAGTCTTTGTAGCCAACTATTGCAAACTTGAAGATACTAAGCAACATTCATACATTAAACAGAAACAACCTTTCAAAATATGAAGTCTTGTCTAAGTATGCCTTACCCTACCTCCTTCTCATCACCCATCCACCCGAACACTGCAAATGAACTGAGTTGTTAAAATTTTTGAGACGACTGCACAACCACCTTCTGCATGAAAATCGAGCAGCTTAAATCTGCAGCATGTTCAACACCTTCAGCCTCCCCAAAATTCCTGCTGAACAACTGGCGTGAATCTCCTTCTCTCACCTACAGACTGTCACCAGCCCGTGCAACAGACGAGGGAGGTTCAGCCGTGCGTGGTAAGCATCAGGTACACATACAACAGGTTACTGGAGCAGGGACAAATAGCCGTACCCTGCGAGCAATACATGTACGGAAGATCAGCTTAATAGCAATGTATTCTTACATACTCATCCTCCGAATAATCGCGAGGTCCTTTTGACTTACGATGCTTCTACGGCACAGAGCATCCTATGTGTGCTAATTAAACGGCATTTGAGGGTGAGGGCGAAGACAGGGGTTTCGGGCGCCTTAGGGGAGCCGTCAAACTTTTCTGCCGGCGGTGACCGAAGTTGAAGGACGGGCAGCTCCGGGCCCTGCCCCGCGCCCCCGCCCGCCCCGCCGCAGCCCGGCCGAGCCCCGCGGTACCTGCGCTGCCGCCGCCGCGGGCAGGGGGTTGTCCAGCAGCTCCATCTGCACCTCCTGCGCCGGGCTGGGAGGCGATTTGGACATGTCGCTCTGGACCATTGGCGAGGAGAGCGGGTGGCTGGGCGCCGAGCCTCTCGGCGGGACAGAGCCGTGCTGAGCCGAGGCGAGGCGAGGCGAGCCGGGGCGGCGGGCGCCGCTCAGCACCCGGCCATGCCGAGGAGCGGCGGGCGGCCCGACCCGGCCCGGCCCTGCCCGGCTCCGCTCGGCTCCGCTCCGCCCTGCCCTGCCCTGCCTGCTGCCGGCGGGGAGCGCTCGGCGCCGCGGACGGGGCAGCGCCGGCGGCGGTGCGGGGGAGGGCAGGGGGCGGTGCGTGGGGAAGAGGGAAAGTGACAGCGAGCATCGCCCTCCGGCAGCGCCGGGCGGGGCGGCGCCCGCATCCGCACGGCCCAGCCCGAGCGCGGCCGAGCGGCCAGCAGCGAGCTGGGGCTGTGGGCCGGGGTGCAGGGGTGCAGGGGTGCCGTCAGGCCCTGCTTTTCCCTTCAGCCCTGCCCGGCGTCTCAGCCTGGCCGCACGGCATCGCCTGCCTCAGCGCGCATCGGCTTAGACCTGTGCTTTTAGCGAGCGAACTGGCGCTTCGACAAAGTTCCATAGGGGTTTTTGGAGGTTCCTATGTACGTATCAACAAGAGACGAGTAAGATGGAATCCGCTGTCGAATTTTATATAACCTGTGACTGTACGATCTCAATCGTGCTATCAGTACCCCACAGGAGGTGCTTGAAACACCTGTTTGAAACCTGATCCGGCAAAATCACCCTCCACCGCCGAGATGATCTTTCATTTCTTGTGAATGAGAGATCATTTTGGTTCTGGTAGAGACCAAACTCTCTGACCTTATGAAGTCCACAATGGACTTGATACCTTTCTTTCACTGGATGGGACCTAGTTGTGCCCCATGCAGCATGAGAGGGAAACATGTTTTCAGACTCACTATGTGATGGTTTGTGAAATCTCCTATCAGCTGATTGTAAACAGTGAAAACTAAGTCTAGAAACTGACTGGCCTAATGTCACACAATTAAAATCACAACCATTACTAATAGTAATAAAAGTCACTTTCAGGAAAAGAAGCCAGCAAACCAAAGCCAGCACAAAAACCAGATCAATTTCAAAAAGTACTTTCAAGCTTTAGCCAGATTGCATGGTTGATTTATTTCATTTTCCATAATAGCTAATAAGCTTTCTTTCTGAATTAGCTTACCTCTATGAATTTTCCTATATGAATAGTGAAAATCTTACAGGAACTGCCCTTTTTTTTTTTTTTTTTTTGTGAAGGAATTAGCTTTGTCTGCAAGAGGAAGTGCTCTGACGTTTGAAGAACTTTCACTTGTCCATAAAGTTTCATATTTATTTTTGAAGACAAGATTTCAAAATTATTTTCTTGAATTTTAGGGTATTGTCCATGACAAAACACAACCTTAATTTAAAGTGAAAAGTGTGGGGTTTATTGCTTAACTTTCTTTCAAGTAACTCAATAGACATGTTCAACAATCTTGAAACTATAAAGATGCTGGAGTCTGGTCTGCTTCCAGATGTTCTTCAGGTGGTTATAATCAGATATTTTCTTTTTAGACATTTGGTGTGAAAAAATGCATACTTCACCATCTAGTAGAGGCTTTGAAGCAGTTATTTCTTTGACACTTACAAATTAGATTGTTTAAATTTAATTACTTTTTGTAATTTACTCATTTTGTAATTGTACTCATTATAAAGGAATTTACTGAAAAGCCTAAACACAGTATTCATGTTAATGATTGCTGGGTGGTGTATTATAATTGAAAGATGTTGTCTTTGAATTTCTAGCACCTTTATGGCTTTGGGAAAATTTATCCTTCTGTATCGAGACACACTCTAGGAGAGGCGCTTGACGATCCACCATGATTCAGTACATTTACTTGGTAGATTTTCAGGCATCTGTCAGGGATTGCCTGTTCTTTCTCACACAGAGAAGGTAGTGGAAGTCACTTAATCATGTAACAGTGGCCCTTCATGTTGCCTTCTGGATTTTCACTTTGTAAAGAGTCTATAAACAGGAGCATTTTTTAAGTATACCATCCTTCTGTAAGAGTAGTAGTGATTATTTTTTAAATATTACAGTTTCTAAAACCATAAATTGTGAATCTGGATTGAAAGAGTATTTCTACTCTCTTATAAATTAGAGCTTGAATATGTCAATTGAAGTTCATTTTTTGTGTGCTCAATCATGTCTTTTATGATTAGTTTGTCTTTTTTTCCTTTCCATTATAAAAATATAATGGTAATGATTTTGCACACATAGAGGTTCTGTAGAAAGAAAAGACTCAGGAAAGAAGTTTCACCTCACACACACAAATAACATCTGAATTTTTAGTAAGTTTATTTGGTTTTTCTTTCCGAGAAAAAATATTCTACATAACTGTTCTTTAGCAGCAGTTATCATTCATTGTCTTGATGTAATGAGTGGCTAGAAGATTAGCATAGAAAAATAACTGTATTTTATTCTGTTCCACCCCTTCTGTTTAGCAGTTAATCCAAGTTCTCTAACCTTGAAATGCGCAGTGAAAATCCTTCAGCTGAACACATATGCATACAGTCATCCTTCTGCATGCTGTTTTTGGCCACCTCTGCTCCAGGAGAAGGGTCAATGTGTAAAAACAATGTGCAGAGATTCTAAATGGCTTGCTTTTTCTCAAGGGAAAAAGCAACCTGGTATGCCTAACCCCTTCTCAGCAGAAAACCACCCTGCTGCATTTATTTACACTTTTATCTGCAACGAAGAGGTGTTGTGCATGCTTATTTGGATTTTTATAAACATGTAAATGTTAGAAAACCAGAAGAAAACACAAGCTGTTTTGTTCATAGGGCCTTTTTCTTTCTTTAAAAAAACAATCCCAAAAGCTTAGGCTGACAAACAACCTGATTTGGGTGCCAAAAATAGCTGGATTTTTTTGCATGAGAGTTTAGATGTTCTTGTAAAGCAAGGAGGACTGTATTACTGTGCATATTTAATTGTTCTTTACCATCAGTATAAGAATGTGGTGTCAGCACCATGTCCTAACCTTTGTACCCATGTATGGCAGGTACATGTTTGGTTTAGCCTATAACTATCACCTAAATGTACAAAAAATAAGCCAAGGAAGGTTGGCTGATATTTGTGCAAATGCAGCTAAAAGCTAGTAACTTAGACCTAAGGGATTTCATTAAAAACTTGCACAAATACAAACCAGTGAGCTTACAATTAATTATTTTTATGAAACTATATAAAATGCTTTTAACTGAGCATATGTTTAAAGCCCTGATATAGAGAATTTCTTTAGGACTTTCAGTTAAAAAGAAGTGCTGGCTGTCTATTAGACTGTGCCACCTCCTGCCTGAAATGAATTGTAGCCAGAAATTCAATATTGTAAAAAAAGATTTCACTTGATTACCCAGTTTTAATATCTCAAAACAGATACAGTTAATCTTTTTCAGTGATAAACTGGAAGCTGCCTGTCGCAAGTGCAAACTAAAGGGATTCCTCTTATTTTAGTACTTTATCTTTCACACAAGCCTGAACAAAGCCAGTACAGACGGGCTCACTTTTGAATCCGTTATCAGTCTGTATCAGAGCACAACACCACCTGGCTGGATTTAATGAACTGATCCATTCTCCCAGCTCGTGTTTATTATGTTGTATTCTTGGATATAAGTGCCATGCACCTAAGACAGCCTTGGCTGATACTGTTACAATATATTCCGGAGAAGACAGGATTGGAAGGAGGAGGGTTTCCATATGATGGAAGATAGGAGCAGTATATAAACACTGGTAAAAATGCTCTTAATGCACAGAAAGGCTCACAATACTTGAAAAAGCCACAACACCTACTAAGCACATATTTTCAGCCCTTTGCAAAAACGTGACCAAAAAAGGCACGCTCCTGCTCGCAAGCTGTTCACTTTGTGAGAGGCAAATTTGCTGTCGATGGGTTGTATACAAAGTTCATGTTTGATTAAGCACTTCTGCAGAAGTTGCTGGTTTCAGTTGATTTTTTTTTTGCTTTTTTCTTTGCTCTCCTGTCATAACTGAGACTGCATATGTCCTTTTGTATCCCAAGTCCTTACCAACTATGGTGTTCCTATTTATAGCATCATTTTTCTCTTATTAAATACTTGAATCACAAGAGCACAAAAAGGCTTTATAGCATTCTCACCCACAAATATGTTCAGCCCATGTGAGTTACTGACATGAGAGACAGATTTTAATAGATCGTGTGTGGCCTGTGTCCAGGGACAGCATCCAAGCTCTCCATAGCTCCATGAGGATGGCCTTTCCTCCACCCTTCATTGAGCCCTGTGCTCAGTTTGGGCTTCTCTGCTTTTGGGTAGTTTGGGTTTTTTTTTCAACCCCACAATCATTTATTTGTGGCACTCAGGCAAAACTTCATTCAGAATGAATTGTGTAAGAGAAGACAGTGACAACCTCTAGTCAGCGTGAGGATTGCAAAACCACCAACATGGTTGACAGTTAACTCATCATTACCAAGGCTTCTGGCAGAGTTAATACGTCTGAGAGTATTCAAATTCTTTGCCAATTTATACATGTACAGATTTGAAGTGCAAATCGATGATGGCACCG